TSATATCACACCTAAAAAAATAAATGAATAGAATTTATAAATAAACATGAATTTGAAAACTCTTACATTTTTTGTTTATTTAAGTTCTCTTATGTGCAGATCGGAATAGAACTTTCGGTAGATTGCCAAGAAAGAACTTTAGATTCTAACCAAAGCCAATAATTTTATATTTTACTTTTCTCGCTTTTTCTGTCATACTTCAGAATTGTTTTCTGATTTTTAAAGCTGTTTTTATAATTCATTTGTCTAGGGTTGATATAATTRTTGCTAACTTTTCTATCTTTATTATTTTGACCTGTTAAAACTGTGTTTATTCAGGAAAGAATGTATGTCAAATCAATTCTTGAATACCAACRTGCGAACAATGACGTCATCCAGCGGCGATATTCATTTGAGCGCTCGATGGAATCTACCTTGCTGAATATCTTAAATTCTTGATTAATTTAATTTTTCAGAAGGATTGTATTTTATATCGTCTTGAATTGATAATATGATAATTTGTTATTGAATAGATTATGGCTTTTATTCGTCGGCGGCCATTTTGAATTKAATATGGTTTGTCGGYAAAGCGCGTTCTTTAACGCCGAATCTAACATGTGCTGAAGTCAATGTAAATTACTCTAATCTTTTGCTTGAGTTCATTTGAGTTCATAGTGCATGTGATAAAAAGTTACTTTACAACATAATTTTCTTTTATGTAATTATACGATAAACAGAATATTACATGGTCGCTTGGAGATACGAATTTTATCTTCTAGTATTGAAAACTTCGTTCGCTACGCTCCCTCGTGAGAGATCTTTAAAACACTCGAAGATAAAATCCGTATCTCCGCGCGCCCATGTAATATTCTATATATGTTATGCAGATCGAAGTGATACAAAGTCTTTCAAAAAAAGCATGATTCAAAATGKAGACCATTTTGTACTTTTAGTTAAAAGGGCTATCAATTTATTTATTTCTTCATCATCCATTATGTATTTTAGAATTTGAAGATACTATTCGAGTTTCCATTCTCTGTTAGAAACAGAGAACATATCGTCCTCCTTAAAAACCTTGTTCCCAYAATAATCCCAAGTGTTTCTAACAGAGAATGGAAGCGCAGAAAACATATTCTAATGCTTTYATAAAATAACAACAACTYTCGCTGGAAAGCTGAATTTCTGTGCACGGTTTTTTACRCATTTCAACCAATCAATATGCGCGTTCTATGAAAGTTACAAAGCGTTATTTTATGAATTTTATTTATTCAATTTGTTTTAAATTTAGTGTTGCATTTATATTCAGGCTAGAAGAAAACTATGTCATGTGTGAAGGAGTTTGTCTTCCACGGTGCATTCTTTACGCTCACTATCTGGACTTCTGTAGAAAACACCAAATTGAAGCGGCTTGTGCAGCTACCTTTGGAAAGGTAGGTTCTTCTTGTTCTTCTTGTTCTAATTTTTCTCTTTTTCTTCTTCTTTTAGCTCTTGTTCTTGTTCTTCTAATTCTTCTCCTCCTACTTTTCATCGTTATTTCTATTTTTAATTTCAACAGCAACTTTTACTAAAAGTTCTATTTCGTTCAGTTTTGATTCTAATCGGACTTTGGTTGAGTTTGACGTAGTTTGGTGGTCATCTCATAATTCTATGTAAAGAAAACAAAAGCATATCAATAGTTTTCATTAACGAGAAAACAGTATACTTTAAAAAGCTGTTTAAAACTTTATTCTAATCTCGATGACCAAGTCCCATGCGAAAAAATTAACTCTTGGTAACGGAAAGTTTCTCAAAATATAAATGACAATCTACAACTATACATACATGAGAATTTTGTATATAAGTTTTATTTATTGGCGTTAATCCTTATAATACTGCCGTTTCTCTCTATTTTCGAGTCTTGTTTTCACAAGTATTATCCTACGATTACACAGCATCTCTGCAAAGCCACTTGTCAACAATAATTCATCTCGAAAAGATATACTTTTGCCATAATTTTTATTGCAACACTTGTTAAATTCCCAGTTTTCTTTTTAGACAATTCGTCAAAAGTTTCCACAACTTACAACTCGACGGCTTGGCACTAGAGGACATTCAAAGTTAGTATTTATCTGACCCTTGCTTTTGTAATGGAAATCAAGTATTGTGTTTTTTAATTAACTATTTCTTCTGGTTCAAAGACAAGACGCCCACGTAAGTTCAAACTGCTTTCATTAGCAATTATTAATTTTTCGGTTTTTTATTTCAGGTATCATTATTATGGAATAGGAATTAAGGAATCTTCTGCATATTATCATTCGGTATACTCAGGGAAGGGTCTCACTAGGTGAGCTTGTTTATCTAACATCGATTGTGGAGTCGGAATATAAATTTGAAAGCCACTTAAAACTATCACTTGGAAATCTATGCTATTGTCCTTAGCTGTTTTCACTGCCGTCAAAAGAATAACTAATTAGAAAGTATTGACTCAAATACATGCAAACACTGAACTAAGCGCATTACAAAATGCACGACTATGAAAAAAAYATTGCTTTTACTAGTGACTTTGTCTTTCGCTATTTTCCCGCTCAAATKTTAGAGCATTGACGCGAGCGCGCGCGTGAAAGTTTTGCGATTTAAATTTCTGYCCGAAAGCTCGCTCTTAAAGCATCTTAGCTCAATAATAATAGTAATTTCGATTTTAATAATTGATTATTTTAGCTCATCTTCGTCTAACACAAGAACCATTTTCTATTTTGACTTTTGTTAGCTTTTCTTATGCAATTCTCGCTAGTTTTACGTATTAAAAATAGTTAGAATACCACCACTCATTCAAGCAAGTCTGTTTCCGGAGTAAGCCAAGTTTGTTTGCCCTCGAAGACAAAGCAACTCGCAAATCAAGTCAACTTTCAATACTCTCGTTTCTCTTTCTGTTTGCGTTGTTTGTTTTGTTTTTTATATTTTGTTGTTYTTTTAAATATAGAACCACAAACAAGTGTTGAAATGCTGTCATGTTTTTGTGAAGAAGTTACTATATAAAAAAGACGAATATTTCAAGCTCTTTAAAAAAAGGGAATGCTTTAACTTTATTAAAAGTGCTACATAAAATAGCGGCAAGATGAATTAAGTTTAATTCTCGTATTATCTTCGTCTTTTTGGTGTCAACGCAAGCAAACAAGAAACAGGCAGAAGAAGTCATTTGTGATGTTTTCTGAGTGCTTACTGGAAACTTTCTTTTAAATAAAGCTTTTTAACATTCAAAAGAGTTTAAATTATTGCCTGCACGACTCAATCGATGCAATGGCAAAATTWGAAGCCAAATTTARATCCTGACTWTTTACGTTGTTTTGATTTCATCGTTATTTTTAGATCTCCGTTGAAGGTCCGTTCACACTTGCGATTTTTGCAGAGCGATTCTCGCGGCGATCGTCGAGCGACCATCACCTGAGTTTCAAGTTTCGAACRTGCTTGCAAATTGGCTGCAACTTTGCGGCGATTTTCCATCGACGCAACAATCGCAGGGCTGTTTACACGTACGATTTTAGTTGCGCGATAGCAAATTGAAGATTATCGTGCGACAATGGCGCTGCAAAAATCGCAAGTGAAAACGGATCTTAAACATAATTCGACTTGAAAGCAGTGCATACAAAATTCATTAAAAAACAGTTCCAGAAGTACTAAAAACGCGGTGTTTTTTTTTTCAATTATTTCAATGATGTGCATCACAACAAACAGTACATGTGTCAACCCAGTCAAAGCTTAAAACTCGCTACAACTAACTAATTAAGGGCAATTATTGCAACAATTCCTTTTGTTATAGCGTGCAGGCAAAATAATAATAATAAGTTTGACATTTTGTTGCGTTTCGTTAGCCAAGTTCAGTGTTTTGCASGGTTTGTTTACTCAAATTCGTAAAATTTTCGAAGCTATATATTTTATTCATCGTGCTCTCAATTTAGAGCCGTGTGAACTATGTTTGGCGTAGAAAATGGCGCATATATTAAACCTAGTGGTTGTTGTGGTTTAATATGGCATTCACTACGATTGTTAACACCATAAAACTTTCTCTAGGACTTATAGTTGCTAAAAATCGCTTAAAATTGCGAAAAAATAGCATAAAAATGCTTTTCAAAGCGTAAAAAAGTTCGAGTTAAAACGTTCGAGTTTTATTGTTCGAGTTAATACGTTCGAGTTTTAGTGTCGAGTATTTGCTCTGTTCACCAAAAGTACATCGGTCAAATTGAACCTACTCTGATACCATTGTTAGTAGACTACTAAGTTGCAATCTCGTACGCCAGAGCCCGCGTAACTTTTGGTCTGCGACAAAGAACCATTGTTTTTCGTCTAGCTTGCGCAGAAGGACAGGGGCGCTGGGTACGAGATTGCATATATTCGTTGTTTGCTCTTTGGGTACCAAAAATACTGTCTTGGAGGGAAGGGGAGGGGATGGAACGAACGTTATGTAGATCTTTTCTGAATGGTGAATTATTGTCGACCTTTTTATCCAGGTTGTAGCTACCGATGTAAATGTTAATTGAATTGAACTTTTCGATATTTTCCAGTCAGATCTATACTGCCTAATTCAATCTTTAACAGCTACTTTCWTTTTCATTTTAGATTTTCTGGCTCAAAAACGAAGAACGAGGTAGTGTATTAACCGTTTTCGACCATTTCCATGAGATTCAAAGATAAAATACCGGCGGCCATGTTGGAGGAATGAACAATAGATACTAATGAAAAATCTTTTCTAGAAGTTCCTCCAAGATGGCCGCTGTGACGTAACTTGAAAACGAAGAATTGATCGTTTTTTTCAACCATTCCCGTGAGATTCAAAAGATAAAATACCGGCGGCCATGTTGGAGGAATGAATAATAGTTACTATCTTGAAATCCTTTGTTGAAGTTCCTCCAAAGATGGCCGCTGTGACCTATTAGGAAAACGAAGAATATGAACAATGAAAAATTATAAAGAATTCATTTGCATGATTTTCTTTAGAGAAGTGTGTTGGTCAAGGTCGTTCGGCATCTTGGAATTTTTATTCTCAGATTCTATTTTTGCTTATTTTCATGTTAAACTCGGGATGACCCTCTTCTCGGATGATAATATAACACGTGACTATACTTGCAGGGAACCTTCGCATCACGGAAGTACTCTCTAAGCGCCAAGACAGGAACACTGCTACCCGACTTTCCCAATGCGTTATTACTGGAATTACCACCAGAAGTATCGCTAGATAAGGTGAGATGTCATCGTCCAGATGACGAGACACGGTTTTTGCGCCTAGCACAGGCCTTTGGTTGCGTCGTAGCCATTTCAAACAATTGCTTCGCGGAAAAAAATTCATTCGTTTGCCAAACTTTTGCTGAACATATATCGTAATCTTACCTTATAAGGAAGTACGTTAGAAAGTTTCTTTCAAGTTTTTTTCCTTTTTGAGTGCTTTAAAATGGATAAAACTTGCAGAATTTGCAGAGAAATTACTTTGTAGTGCATTTAAATTTGTCCTAGTCCCCTCCCATCCTTGAAAATAAGGGATCCCACAAAAAAACACACAGGTAGCTCGCGCGAATGTTAGACAATTCTTTGATGGAAAGCTATCCAGTATGGTGGATTTAGTACTATGTGACCGTTTCATGCAAAAGGTCTATATTACATGCATCAGTACTTTCGGAGAACAAAGAATCCGCCATCTTGAAAAGTGAAACTAAAATAAATYACTATGTCGTGCCTTAGAACACATTTCGTAGTTGCTAAGTTAACTTATCTATCAYTATATCGTATAATATTAACTTGACATTCGCTGAGAAGTTTTTAAATCATTTAGGAGTAATAATTTAGTGATTCGAGTCCCACTTTTCAAGATGGCGGACGCATTGTTCTCCCAKAGTACTGATGCAATATGGGATTTCATGTGGCGAGGTCAATGTTCAAAAAGTGGGCTATTTTCATACTCGTTTCCAGTTTCCGTTTGAATAAACCCTTTAAGCAATGTCTTTTACAATGCATTACCCTCAAAACCATGTAGTATATTCAGTGACATTTATGCAGTAACAGCCCAAGCAAATGCAAGAGATCTGTGAGTATAGAAGACAATGGAGATGGTTTGAAATCTCATGAGTTTTATCTAAATTTCTGAATATTTACACACAATTGAGGCTAACACAGTGTAAAAGAGATCGCGAAAACTCAACTATTTCGGAGGGACCTAGTATGTCTGATCGTTCTATTATAATTGTCGTTTCAGGTCCATACTTTTATAATCATGTACAAGACGCACTGTCAATGTATATTAGATACTGCCATCAATGCTAACTTTGATGAAGTAAGTCTCTTTTTTTATAACAGTTTTAAAAAACGCTGCATTCTTAGATGCTGTAAATGTATTCCAATTGTTTTGCTGCTCAAAATGGCGTCGCTTCACATTGCCCGTTGCTGCTTCTTTGCATTCAATCTAGCCAATTGTAATTTTGTAGATAGAAAATATTTCATGTATTTTGCTTCCCTCAATCTCTTTCAGATCAAAAATTTTCTTCTTCATTTCTGGCAAGGAATGCCAGACCATCTCCTTCCGCTCATGGACACTGAGGTTGTATCTGACGCCATCTGCGTGTGTGATTCTATACTTTATAAGGTAGCTTTTGATTCTATCTAAACCGCCAATTCTGGTTGACATAGATATAGATCGGTCGGTTGTAATTAACTTAACTCAAGAAAAAAAAAATTAAATAAATTGGTTTTAAAGACTGAGGAAAATTATTATTTTTAGATGAATATTTAGAATAGACACATTAATTTTTGACTTCTATTTATTTATTATTTATTCATTCTATTCATAATTTCTGTGTCGTCAGCAATTCCGTAAAAAGGGAGGGGGCTAGCCCCCCTAACCACCCTCCCCCCTCCCCCTGGATCCATGACAATGACAATTTTAATCATGTTTCAACCTATGTTCAAGGTATTGATGGATGTCCTGCTACCATCATCAATGCAAGACGTCCCGGAGGGGTAAGTACGTCTCSTCTTCCATTTCYAAGACTCCATTTTCGAATTCGAAGCGTATAACYTCTSCTTTATTTGACAGATTCTTTGTGCAAGAGAATCCGTTGTCAAATAAGGCAGCGRTTTTTCGCTAAGAATTCGAAACTGGAGTATTCGGTCCATTTCACGGCTATAACTCGGTCATTCGAAATCGAGGGAAAAGCCCTTACTAGAACTAGCACAGAAAAGACATATCACAAAACAGTACAAGGACAGKAGAATGGCTGAGTAGCTCAAGAATCCGTTTGTACATTCAAAACATAAAAAAGATRTTTGGTAAAGTTGAGAGGTGACAATCTTACCATTCTTTGTAAATAATTAAACATCTCATTTGTCAACGGATGTTTTTTTTCAGTGTTGGTGACGGCACATGGAATCCAAGCTAATTATTCACAGAAATCGATCGAGATTTTTTATACACTTCTTTTTCGCATTTGTCAAATGGCTTGATCATAACCAAATGTCTTGGTAGATAATTCAACTGGATTTGTTTGAATTTAGGTTGCTTGCGGATATAAGAACTTTTGCGCGTCACCTAGAAACCTGGGTAACCACGGCAACAGAGCAACTACCGGAGTACATAAAAGTCGGCAAAGTGCAAAGTAAGAGGGCCTTTTGTTAATTAATAGACCAATYCCGCATTCGCTTGGATGAACACGAAACAATCACTTCATTTCGAGGCTGGAGTTTTCGACAAAAGATAAAACTCCAGCCTCGAAATGAAGCCATTGTTCCATGTTAATCCAAGCGAATGCGGGATTGGTCTATTTAGACATCAATTAAAAATATGCAAAGACGCTATTTTGTAAAACAAAACAACATGGGATTTGTTTTCCTCGCACCTTAAAAAATCTSCCTAAAATCTTTTTTGCGGTCGACGCATCATTTTTAACCACTCACTAATCGAGAAATAACGCATTCCCCATYGTCTCTTGAATTTCGCTGGATGGCAAAAGTGAGAACTCTGGGTATGAGATTGGGACAGGGCCTTACACTTCTTTTCGTTATTCAGTTGTCAGAAGATTCGCTCAATCCATCAGAAGACAGACATCGTTCCTTCATCTTTCGCAGGTATGAAATGCAACTGCTATCATCGAGATCCGGGTTGTTGTTTTATTTGTTGATGCTGCTGCTGCAGCAATAATCCAGTTTCGAATTCTCCCATGCTCTGTGTTAGCCTCATTTCTGCCCAAAATATTCGTAATTGTGAGAATAAAAGTGTGAGATTTCAAATCAATTTAATTGTTTTTCTTCGCAAATTCCATGCGTTTTCTTGGGCTATCAATAAAACAAAAAAGTATTTTACTTGGTTTTTGAGGCTAACACAGAGCAAATCAGAACTCGAAATTGGAGTATTATTATTGTTGCTGCTGTTGTTGTTGTTGATGCTGCTGCTGTTTTTGTGGTTGTTGTTGTTGATGTTGTTGTTGCTGCTGCTGTTGTTGTTGTTGTTGTTGTTGATTTTGCTTTATTGTTGTTGTTGCTGCTGCTACTGTTGTTGTTGTTGTTGTTAATTTTGCTATATTGTTGTTGTTGTTGTTTTTGCTATATTGTTGCTGTTGCTGTTGTTGTTTTTGCTATTGTCGTTGTTGTTGTTGTTGTTGTTGTTGTTGTCGTTGTTGTTGTTGCTGTTAATTTTGCTATATTGTTGTTGTTGTTGTTTTTGCTATATTGTTGCTGTTGCTGTTGTTGTTTTTGCTATTGTCGTTGTTGTTGTTGTTGTTGTTGTTGTTGTCGTTGTTGTTGTTGCTGTTAATTTTGCTATATTGTTGTTGTTGTNAATGTTTAGTGTTGAGACTTGAAACTATGTCTTCTTACTTATTTTGTTCCCCTCTTTCCATTTTCRTTAAAATTTATATCCATAATTCAAGAAAAAGGACAATTTTGTACGGAAAATCTATGGTTATTCACATTTGAATACGTTTTCATCGGCGAGAGATAGATTTCCTGCTTTTTTTGCTTTTTTTGTTGTTTTGTTTTGGTTTCCTGTTCAATTACATTCGTCCTTCATTCATTCCCTGATACAATGCGCAAAAGCAAACGAATGCATCGGTTCGGATATACTAGGGAAATTATTTCACCTGATTTAGTAGTTGATCGAGTGAAGCATTTAGGACAGTTTCAAACTCCTAAAGAATAATAAATAATGAAAAAAATCAAAAATATCATAAAGAATAATAAATACCAGGACAATATATACAGAATAATAAATAATAGCAAAAATATATAATACAATGAATAATGGGGGAAAAATAAGACACGAATAAAGWATAATTGGCTTGTAAATATTCACCTTCAGATCCTGATGATGTGCAACAAAACTCGAGACACTAAAATATCTATCGAGAGATTGCATGACCGCGAAAGGGACTATAATTACA